CAGGACTGGTGACCCCTGATTTAAGGCCTCGTACACAAACATGAGGATTTTAAAATCAATGCAAAAACTGACTGGAAGCCAGTGCAGATTTTAAATAGGGGTTCTGTACTCTCTTGCACTGGTCCTAGTTAGACTTCTAGCTGTTGAATGTTGTACTAATTGTACATATCAGTAATGAGCCTGGGTTAATCCCATTTGAATTTAAAGTGACAGTCACCAAAATGCCATAATTTGGATCAAAATCTAAAAGGTTTCAAAGAGATCTAAAAAATATTCATGTGGTATTTTAAACTGAAACTATACACTCATAAGAGACTTCTTTTATGTTTTGTAAAAAGGGGCATAATAGATCACGTTTAAAAACAAATTAAGCAAGTATTGACAGTGTACATAACCAACAACTACCTTTTTTTTTATTAAAAATTGTAATATTGAGATCTTCAGCACAGTAGAATGCCACCCTGGTTGCTGCTGGAGGCTCGGGAGGCAATGAAGAATGAGAAGAGACTGAACGCATTCATGGAGTTCATTAAGAGAAGAGGAGCCCCTTCACTCCAACACAGCTGTTCAGAAGAAATGAACACATTCCTGTGAAGCACGTTCATGTTACCCAGGGAAACAGCTGCTTCTGTGCCGTATGTTCTGACACACAGCAGCCAGAAAAGCAGAGAACAGAGGATGAAAACACTGCCATAAAGAGCTCCACAGAAAACACAACATTCTGGCGTCTATTCTCATCTATTCTGAAGAAGTTATGCCATTATATTTTAAGCAACTCTCAGATTAGATGCATATCAAATAGCTATAAATTGAATTGTGAAAGCAGTGGAAAAATGCTCAAGATAGTGAAGATCAGAAATAAAGAGCACGATTGGTTTTGATCCATATAGGAGTAAAAGAGCCATTTTTAAGCATATAACATGAGTTATACTGCATATATTCTGAAACAGTGTAAAAAACTTGAATAAAATATTTCAATAAAAAAACACTGATCAGAATTAGAGAACGCTTTTAGTTATTGTTTTTAATCTGGTACATAGTGGTAATTTCCTTAATTTTCTGAAAAACTCTATTAACTGCAGCTAAACTTTAAGCCAAAGCTCAATGGAAATAAAGCCTACTAATATACCCCAACAAATAACCCAACTATAGGTTATAATAGCACCTACCCAACTGTGGGTTATTTTAATGCATTGGGTGCATGCATTCAATGCATTGGGTTATATAGATTTTTTTTTTTCATTCAGGTGTTACTATTATTACTAGTACTACTATTAGTTTTATAATTATGGCTGTGTAAATAAATAACATATAGTTTTAAAAAAATTGAAAATGCTTTATTTACAATACATTTAAGGTTCCAGACACTTAAGCGTTTTTATCTGGTTACTATAGATCGGCTATGAAGTCCGGTTGTATTATCAACAATTAGGAGTGCTAATGAAACCGATATAAAACACACGACACGGAGAGTTAATTTGAATAATTTGAAAAAAAAAAAACAACAACAACATTATTGCGTTAGAGCTTAAATAAACTTCATAACACAAAAACATTGTTACGTACACACAATCCGCTTGTTAAGTGTGACGTCACGCGAATGGGGAGACTAATGAAATGGTAATAATAAACGTTTACAAAGCGATTTAAGGCTTTCGAAAATCACGATCGTAGTATATATGTCCATGCCTAATATCCGATGGCCAGAAAGTGATTAATTTTTTTATAAATTGTGAAAATGTTGTTATTTGTTATGCAGCAAGCCCAGAGATTGTTGTGTACACTATGACTTTATAGAAAATTAACTTTAATGTGTTATAGGAATAAAACGTGATCATAAACGAATGATTTCTCCACTCAAATGAATGGCTGAAGGTGTGAGTAGGTCACCGGCAGGTGTACAGACTGGCCCACGAGATCAATGCGAAGACTAGTCTATTACTTTCAGGAGTAGGTTTCACACTCTCCACTCCTCCATGACTGCCAGAGCATCTGCTTAGGATACGGCCTGGTCTAAGATTATGGAGACCTCAGGATAATGAAAAACAGTCTAACATAAGTGTAGATGCTGTTTAAATTAAAAGTTCCTTTAGGAAGTGTTTCCGGCTCCGGTTGCCCTAATTAATGTAGCCTAACAATCCTTTAGTTCACTTTGTTGAGCTATTTCAAACTGCTAAAATAAACTCAAAATGAACTTGTGGCCATTTTTTTGTCATTTCAGTTTAAAAAGCCTAGTAGCATTAATTTGATTAAAATCTGTATTTTTAAGTATGTTTTTGCGGTTTGGCAAAGATGTTGGCTGAAGCACATATTTCCAATGAGTCTGTGTTGCAAAATTTCCAGTTTTCATTTACTTCGCAAGATGATGAGCTCTTCTAAAGTGACTGAAACCCTACAACCACAGGTTGTCCAGATGAAGACTAAAGGGACCCTTTCAGTCCTAGCAAGAGAAGTTGGTCATTATCAATCTGTGATTTCTAGAATATTGCACATTTTCAATGTCAAACATTCAAGTCTACCAGAAAGGCTGGTCGTCCAATAAAGACAAATGCACAAGAGGGCAGGATAATGCAGAGAATCTGGACATTTAAGACAGTGGTCCCCAACATTTTTATCACAGCGGACCAGTCAACGCTTGACAATTTTACTGCGGACTGGGGGGTTGGTGTGCTGGCTGGTTCGTATGTTGCTATGTGACCATCAACCGTTTTCTCAGACAATGACAAGCTGACAAATCATTGCTGTCACTCTGATACAAGTTTTATTTATACAGAAAATTACTAAGCACTGCAGTAGTCTACCGAAATGTGTAAATTCCAAACAAGCTAAAGTTCTTGTCTTTAAGTGAGTGTGTCTGAAAGCTAATTGCCTGCACAAGCCGTGCACCTCTATTGGAAATAACGAACTTATGCGAACTCTAGAAAAGATGCGATATGCAAACGACCCCTAAAAGGCTACCATCATTTGCGATCTCCAACAGTTGATCGTCTTGCACAGACCTTCTGGATTCACCTGATTTGTTGACAAATGGGTTGTGGATCTTTTCCTTAAATGTTCGCGGGTCCTTCACTGGGCTTTTTCCCCTTAGCAAAGAAACTTTCCAATGATGTCTGTTACTCATTTTGCTGCCTGTGGGTTAAATTTGAGCGCTCAAGTGACAAAGAATATGGTAATTTTTCAAAATAAAAGATTTTCCAGAATAAAAGATCAGACTCGGATAATAAATAAAACAGAAACAATTAATGATTTCTTGTGCAGCCCGTACTAATTGATTCACGGACCAGTACCGGTCTGCGGTCCGGGGGTTGAGGACCACTGATTTTAGAGACTCCTTCATCAGCAAAAACAATCAAAATACCCAACTAGCCATTGTTAAAGAGCATGTTGTGTGGACAAATAACTTTTCCAAAGTTTTATTTTATTGATGAAAGCAAGTTTAATTTATCAAGGACTGATAGGAAACATTACAAACTGGAGAAAAAATTAAGCCTAAGTGTGTGCAGAATCAGTGAAGGTGGTGGTGAAGGGTGAAGGTTTGGTGGTGTGGTGTGAAAGAGAATACTCTCTTGCAGAAAGCTTCATTTCTGTAGAAGAACCTGCTGTGAACTGGGATCCTTCAGAGGAAAAGATCGAGACTTAAGGTCAGATGTCTGACACACTTATGAAGGAGTAAAGATGAAGCCTCATGTGTCTGATTCCAGCGACGCTCCAGGGACAGACGAGTCTTCATTGAGGCCATCTTCCAGCATAAACCACGGCGAATGAAGTTCTGCACAAGACTTTTGGCCAGCGGAGAAATTAAAATGGTCGTGCCCAACTGAGTCTGGTTCTCTCAAGGTTTTTTTTTTTCTTCACTCCCATCAGGTGAAGTTTTTTTTCCCTCTCCGCTGTCGCCACTGCCTCGCATGGTTCAGGATTGGTAGAGCTACGCATCGATGAATTTGCTCTTCAGTGTTTGAACTCTCAGTAATGATTAAATCACACTGAACTGAGCTAAACTGAACTGAACTGAACTGAACTTAAACACTAAAACCTGAACCACACTGTTCCAGTTACTAAACCACACTGTTCCAGTTACTATGACCATTTATGTGAAGCTGCTTTGACACAATCTACATTGTAAAAGCGCTATACAAATAAAGCTGAATTGAATTGAATTGAATGAAGCCATGAAATGCGGAAACATCATGAGAAATCATTAGGTCACTCGTAGCACATGCTAAATGTTAGTGGGTGTTCATGTACTATATATGTGTGTGAGAAAAGAAGCAAAGAAAGTTTCAGATAGAAAGCTGGAGTCAGTTTTTATGCTTCCTACAGCTGGCAGTCATTTACAGACCGACTCCTCTGACAGCTGCGGTCCTCTGAGAGCGAATTACGGGGGTCTTTTCCTTTCTTTTGCTTTAACACCCCAAAACTTTCTCCCACAGCAGCCTTTACAGCACCCCAGGAAGACTCCGTACAGAATAAAACAAAGATGTCAATAAAATGAAACAGAGAACACACACTTAATACATAATTTATATTTGGAGGAGCTGAGATGTTTGTGAAAATAAACACCCCAAATTAAGATCTTATTTCCGTTATTGTTATTAATAACAATAAAGATAAATGTGAATGTTTCTTATTGTTTGTTAGTGTCTAATGACTAATCCGGTTGTGATGATGCTTGGCTGTTATTATTCTTGTATTCCTATTATTGTTGTGTTGGTTTTTGATTAAAAGGACTACCGCAAATTCATTCTTCTACTTATTTTAATTTTGTAGATAGGTGACAAATTTTGGTTTATTTGCACAATCATTTGACACATTCACATGTACCGTATGCATGTATTTAACACACCCATATTTGATATCATTTATTTAATGATATAGCATAATTTAATACTAGGGTAATTAAATATTTAAATTTGTGTATTCTTCTTTGATGAAATGGACACTTTATTTTGATGAAATTCATTAAAAACTAAAATTTTCTGATATTCTACACTACCTGACAAAAGTCTTGTCGCATACGTTTTGTAACAACAAATAATAACTTGACTTCTAGTTGATCATTTCGTATCAGAAGTGGCCTCTAAAAGTCTAAAAATGGCCTCTAGATTACGCTTATTGTATCAAAATAAAATATAATCATGCAACTAGGATGTTTCATCTCAGATATTTTACGTTGCACATACAGTACATCCTGAATTTATAGACAGAGAGATGTTTCCCTGATGAGTGCACAGAGCTCCTGTGATTCAGTCTGTATGAAACCTTGAACTTCATTATCTCAGAGAGCTCTCTGATGTTGTCAACATTGCAGCCCACAATAAGAGAGAGAGAGAGAGAGAGAGAGAGAGAGAACTCAAGTAGGAGGCTCTGCTCCTTCCCGCCCCTCCAAATTTAATTAAATTCCAAACTTCCTCTCATCCTCCTTTCATTAGTAAGTGTGACGTAAGGAAGAACATGTACGCACTTGTTCACACACATTTGAATGCATGTGAAATCCAAGTAAATTTTAATACTTTTAATATTTAATACTTTCCTTCAGCTTAGTACCTGATTTATGAGAGGTCGCCACAGCGGAATGAACCACCAATTACTCTGGTGGTTCATATGCATATGTTTTATGCAACAGATGCCATTTCAGCCATAGGACCAAGAGTACACTAACTCATGAACCCCCAAGCACTGGGAAACACTCAGGTATTTTTATAAACATTTTTTCCCGCATTTGTTTTAATAAAAATCTATATACATGAATCCACCAGCGGGCGCCTTCTATATTTTTGCAAATCTGAAATACGTTACTTAGGGCTTGTTTTGTGGTACATTTCAGATTCACATCCTACTTCTAGGAAAAAGCAGGACTTGTCGTACAGATCACTTAGCGAACCACTGACCTAAACCCTTGTCTAAACCCAACCAATAGTGTTTTCAAAAGCAAACACTGCGTCCACATAGTTTACCTTGATTTTACAGTGCTTTAATTTTTATTCTGAAACTTTGCTTTACCAGACTCAAACCCAAGTGCTCTACATCCCAAGTACAACACTGTAAAAAGTGAGCTAACAGGCAAACTGACCACAGTTGTCAACATGTTCATTCTGAAAATGTAGCCCTATATACATTTCTGGAGATCGCAAATTATGTAGCCAGAGCTACACTGAAAAAAAAATTATTCAAAGATGATTCCTTGGATTTACTCATATTTTACATTAAGTGGTTGTAAACAATTTAATTGTTTTGAATAAAAACAAACAAATTAAGTTGAACATTATTCAATTTAATTTGTTTGTTTAAATTTAACATAACTAAATTGTTTGCAACAGTTCTGCATGCAACACTTTTTTCAGTTTAGGTCTGGCTGCGTTTTGTCTTTAAAACGAACACAACAGGGCAGTATGATGCCTTTTTTTTTGCTCTTAACAGCTGACTACCTATGGATAGGTTTTCTGCTGTTACCAGTTTGTCTAGTAGCTCGACATGTACGTCAGCAGACTTGAGACGCAGAGCGGATCTGATCACGACAATGGGGCTCGAGTCCAATGATAATGGTTCCAGAAGCAGGTGACAAAAATAAAAGCTAATAAAATAAAATAAACAAGTAAATACAGCCTGATCTCACGAGGAAACGTAAGTATTTTATGTTTTGTCAGTTTATTGGCTAATTCATACAAATTCGAAAGAGTTGAGTCTTACAAAAATGTAAGATTTTAAAAAGGAGGTGTGGCACCTAACCCCAACTCACTGTCATTGGGTGATGAGAAAATCGTACCAATTTGTATAAATTAGATTGTACAAATTTATACAAATTAGCCACTAAATCAAAAAGTTACGAATTGCTGTGAAATTGCATTAGTAAATAACAGGGTGAGAATGTGGTAAAATCTGAAAACGTGGTAAAAAATCAGGTGAGGGCTTTTCTTTTTATGGATTGCATTTTAAAACACTGCTGTTGTGTTTAGGGAAGGTGGTGGGCACTGGTCAATCACTGCTATTTAAAACACAATTGGTTGAGTTTAGGGAAGGAGGAGGGTGGGGGGATCAGTTGGTTGGTCAGTCATTTGGTCGACAGCGGCCTCGGGTGGATTTACGTGAGAACAGTAGGCACAAATGGCACTTGCTAGAGTAATCTAAGAACTGAAAAAAAACGTACACACCGGCCTCTGGTGGATTCGCGAAAGCAAAAACTACAGAAAAACGTAGCTCCTGGGACATATTTTGCTCTCTCCAGAAATGTATATAGGGGTACGTAATCAGAATGAGCCTGGGTTGAAAGTATGGAGATAGACAGATTTAATGTTGTAAATCTAAATTGGGCTTTTACATTAGAATAACAATCTACAAAAAAAAAAAAAAAATATATATATATATATATATATATATATATATATATATATATATAAATATATATATATATATATATATATATATATATGCTAGTGTTACAATATGTAACAAAAAAATTTATAATTTAAGGCAAGCTATGTCTTCAAATTCAAAAGACACATTAACAGACTTTTAACCACAAACTCTAGAACTTCACCAAAGTGTTTATATTGTTTCATGCATACATTTGATTTGACGAATGGTTTATATTTCTGAAACAGCCCGAGACTCTGTTACACAGTTCTCCTCTGAACATCACTGTTTAATTCATCAACAATTTTACACCCATTACCTGCCAAAGGCGTTTGTGTAAAGCCGCAGCTGTGCGCATTTTCCGGTGGATTTGAGAGCGCTTAATGGAAATTACGCACTCGAAGGAAAGACGGAACCATTTGTAATCGTAACAACAAAAGCCCGCGCTCAGTCTGGATGACCAGTGGAGCTGAACACTCATCCTGTAATTGCAGGCTTTCCCGAAGAACTTCAATGCTTTGGCCAGGCCGCAAATGAGAGGTTTAAACACTCAACATCAAACAAAGAAGGTCTACAGGAGACGCTCATGCAGAGTCTGTGTCGGTTTGAACATCTCTCTCACTAAAAGGCTGAGCTCTGTGGATCATGATATTTGAGAGAAATAAATGCACAGCACTGACTTCCTGAGCAAGGGAAAGTGTGAACAATACTTTAATCCTCCGCCAGTTCACTACAGGCGTGTATGTTATTCAGTCTATTCAGATAAGACAGTTTTTCCACTGACCGGCCAGAATGAACTGATGATAAAAGGAGACAACAACATTGAAGCAAGCAACAAGTGAAACAAATAAAAGCCGGCAGTGTAAAAATTTAAGACATTTCTGTGAATGAAAATTATTTTGCACTGTAAAAAATGATGAGTTCCACACAATTGCTTAAAGTTTTCCCAACACAAATCGATTCAGTTATCATAATTGTTTTTTTTTTTACAAATTTCAGTGGATTAAAGGAAAAACAATTTATTTAACTTAAAAATTAAGTTGTTTCAACTCACTGTAAATAATGTAGTTTGAGCAAGCAGCAAGTCATTTTTAATGTATTATTAATGGGGTTTGCCATAGGCAAAGTCCATTCTTACAATTGTGCTGGCTTATTATTCTTCTTCTTCCTTCTTCCGTACCATTTTTCGGCGCGTAACTAGTCCCGCAGCTTTCGTCCCAGACCCTTGAAAGTGGCCTCAAATCGTCCGGTCTTATCGGGAATGGTGTGCTATGACTTTTATAAGGGGTGGGGGTTTTTTTGGCCCCGCAGGGGCCAAAAAACCCCCCCAAAAATCCCATAGACTTAACATTGAGCCGAACTTTGACGACTCGCAGCGCCGCGTGTGAATTTCATAGAAATATGGGATTCACAGCATCTGTAGAGGGTTGCAGCCTAAGTGAGAACATACCTTGCAAGGGGGTATAAGTTGCACCCCTGGGGCTCTAGGACGTCCCAAAGTGCTCCCATTGACTTACATTGGCCCCATTGACTCCCATTCATTTTTCTAGGAGAGCACTAAACGCGCCGCGAAATGGGACGACCTTTTAGGCGTTATAGCGCCAAGTGTGAAATTCGTAGAAATATGGGATTCGCAACATTTGTAGGGGGTTGCAGCCTGTATGAGAACATACCCCAAAAGGGGGTATAAGTTGTACCCCTGGGGTGCTAGGACGTCCCAAAGGGGTCCCCATTGACTTTACATTGCCCATTCACTCCCATTCATTTCTTGACTCACATGTCAATCACATTACATAGCAGTGTCATACAGACTTGGGGGTTGGCTTATTTGACTGAGGCAACCAATCAGCATCTCAATATGATTTTGAAGCTCACAAGCCACGCCCCCCCAAACCACTTAAAGACCCTTAATAACTGCCCCATTGACTTAACATGGGGTGGGACGTCCCATTGCACATCCCATTGACTTCCATTATAAATGTCACACATCAATAACATTACATAGGAGTGTCATAGAGAAATGGGGGTGGGCTCATTTGACTCAGGCAACCAATCAGCATCCCAATATGATAATGAAGCTCACAAGCCACGCCCCCAAACTGGTCCCATAGACTGCCATTATAACTGGCCTACATGCATATCTATGCTTAGCAGTGTCCTATTGGCTTGGGGGATGGCTCATCTGACTCAGACAACCAATGAGCATCTCAATATGATAATGAATCTCACAGGCCACGCCCCCAAATTTATCCCATAGACTGCCATTATAACTGGCCTACATGTATATCTTTGCTTGGCAGTGTCCTATTGACTTGGGGGTTGACTCATTTGACTTGGACAGCCAACCACATTCAAGTTCACTCTGTAACCTCGCCCATAGCAACAAAAGAGAGTACCCTAGCAACCATTCATCAACAGCTATATCTCGGCATCAGAACATCGTAGAGACTTGGGGATTGGCTCGTTTGACTCATGCTAGCAAACGGAACTTCCTATATGCTACACATGCTAGCAGTGACTAGCTACATGCTAATATTGACTAGCCAAGTACTGTAACTTGCTAGAAATGCTCACTAAGTATAAATATTTCATCAGGCATGTATGTGAGGCTTGCCTAGTAACCACCCAGGGTACCCTAGCAACTGCCTAGCAACCACCCAAATTACCCTAGCAACCGCCTAGCAACCACCTAGCAACCGCCTAGTAACGTCTTAGTAAGGGCCTAGCGACCACTCAGGACACCCTAGCAACCGCCTAGCA